AAAAAAAAAAAAAAAAATGTGAATGAAGATAATGTTTTTTTTTTCTATAACACTACAAGTGTGATTAAGAATAATAGTCAACTGTTTCTGATACATTTTCAGTGTGTATATATAAAACAAAAAAGAAGATATAGAGTTTGATGCCGATAACCGAGATGTACATAGTGTACAATATTGTCATGTACAAGCTGACTTAATGCACACTTTATCTTTTACTGTATAATAATAGTGTACAAAAATTCTTTGGTTTCTATCAAGTGGATGTTCGAGCGGTGTATAGAGATAAAAAAAAAATAACTGCTTTTATACCATAATGTCAGAGATGACAAAGGGGGCGCCCCGCATCTCTGATCATTCTCCCCCTTGGGAAGCCCCTTTCTCCCCTTTCAGGTACCTGTAGGTGAGTGAAGTCTTATTATTATGATTGATTGCATGTCCACTGCTTATCTAAACGGTTAATTCAATTTCTTCTGTACTGCTGTGAGGACTGCTGGTTGTGAGCAATAGGTTAGTCCCATTCAGGAAGCCGGGCGGCGTGTAATGACTTGCCACCCAGCTTCCCGATTAGCAGGGAAGCCGTCCCCATGCTTATCATCACTAGGTGACGAGAAAGCATGGACTTGGCAGACTGGCCAATCAGGAAGCCGGGCAGCGAGTAAAGACGCGCTGCCGCCTTCCTGATAACGGAAGTATCGGGCTAGGCATTGGAGCATTTGGAGTACGAGCCCAAATACTCGGCACCGATACTAGTATCGGTGCATCCCTAATATATATAATATTTTAAATTGCATTTCTAATTTAGTTTTATATACAGGTGCCAGGCTGAAACATTTGTTCACTGTTGTCACCATCAGGAAACCTGTCTTTAGATATGCCGTGCACCAATCACTAGAGTGCATGAAGACAAGAGGTGGCTGCAAAGTGACTACATGAGATCCGCAATGCTGAAATGCAGCATAGGACGAAAAACACGTATTTTATAAACATAAGGCAATTTGTTTTTAATGAAACGCTATGCTTTAGCGAGCTAATTGTCATTCACTGCGGGTTTTAGATCTACTAAGAGGAACTTAACCACCCCACCCCTTTCCCCTCAGGGGTTCATTTGCTTTTAACCCCTCTAACCTTGTGCACTGGGTTGAGTATAGATAGCGTACTCACTTGCCCAGTGAATCCAGCATTATCCCGCTGTTATCCACAAATCCCTGCGCTGCCATTTTTATAAAGGTTTCAGATACCGGTGGCGTGTCTGCATGTGAGCAAGACCTGGTGCACATGTGCAGACCTCTGATGTTCTCTGTCGCATCTATGGTACCTGGAAGAGACGTGTTGCCGTCTGCATATGTGCGGGATGTGTAGCAAGGACATTCCAGGAGGCGTTTGGTGGGGGGCAGCTGCATCATACTCACCTAGGCGAAGATTAAGTAAATGAAAATTTTAAATAAATGTATTTAGGGGGTTGGGAGGATAACATTAATATAGATTGTTAGCGGTCACTTCGGAGTTCTCTGACCTGACCTGTAAAATTCTCCAATATCAATCTAATGTTCTTATGTGTTTATGGAACATTTCTAACCACCTCAAATTCGGACTTAAAAGAGAACTTTGAGGCAAGTGTCTTTCCCCATAGTTCTCTTAAGCCCCGTTCACATGGAGCGATTTATCGCGCGGTAATTCCCGCGATATCGCGGCAAATTACCGCGCTCCAATGCATTTCAATGTTGCATTGAGCAAGCTTGAACGCGATATCGCGCGGCAAATCTCGCGATGTCGCGCAATATGCAAATCGCGCAACAAACGCGCGATTTGCATATCGCGCAGTGGGAACGGGGCCTTAAGGGTCACAGGAGGACATATACTAGCGTCTTCCCGTGACCCAAAGCTTAGTATATCGTGAGCTGCAGTTTGCGGGATACTGAGACTGGTGCTGCCGGGACGGATCCTGACATTACTGTCGAGATCCACCCAGCTGCATGGTTGACAGCTGGCTCTGCCTATCTAGAGGCAGAGCCAGCTGTACCTGCCCCGTCCCTCCAGTCAGCACTGGAGGATCGGAGCAGGGAGATGACTGGCAGTCACGGCTCTCTGCAGGGAGATGATCGAGAAGTGAGCGAGCGATGGTATGCGTTTGCTCACTTCCCGATCTATTGAGCCGACGTGTGACAGTTTCATTGTCACACATCGGCTCGAACTATGAGGATGAGTGATTTTCACTCACCTCATAGTTCTCCTTTATTTTAAATTAAGTAATTTCATATGCCCCCTTCCTCTCTTTAAATGGAAAAAAAAATCTGCACCTTCGCCCTGCCACAGTTTATTCAAATGCCACCCATATTTTCAGAACTTTAACTCCTCCCCCTTTGCTGACTTGCTGCTCTTGCTGACACAGGCCCAGTCCTCACAGAAGTAAAGAAGAGACACTTCTTAGCTACATAATTTTTCTCCAGTTTAAGTATAGCACTGAAATGAATACACAGGCAGTACAAGATTTTAATAGGGTGAGGAATCTAAAGAAAATAGGACTTTGATTACCAGCCTTGAGAATTCCATGTTTTTTTACATTGCCGTTCTTTGCAAGCTGGCCAACTTGCCTTTTGGTGAACCCCGAATTTCTCTCGAGCTAAAAAAGCTTCTTCTTACATTAGTAGCAAAGCCACCGCTGATGCTCCAGGGGGCGCCATCTCCCTGGATTTCACTGGTAAAACCTATATTGCTAATTTCTAGGACACTACAATGTATTGTCTGCATAGCCTGACCAAGGAAGCATGCATCTCCGTTATCTCATTGAGCAGTATTAACACATCACAAGCTGCCGTGATAGACTCACACAGCGCAGCATCTTTTTCTTTTCTTTTTTTCCTCTCTTCTTTTCTCCTTGTTTATTTGTCAGTATTATGTAACATATCACAGATTTATTTTATTTAAGAAAAAGTATTTATACTGTTAACAGAATATATATTAATGTGGCTGAAACACGCAAGTTATTTTATTAACCAAATTATTTATGTTATGTAAAGTGAAAATGTGAAGCTAGAGAAAAAAACAAACAAACACTACATACAGACAGGAGCCGACAACATTGTATTGTAAGGAAAGGTTCACTCGAACATCTGACACATGTATATTCCTATATTTGGATATACATCTGTTTTCTCCAGTCCGTTTGATAGCAAATAAACAGAAACGCCATCGTCTAGTTTGTACGAAGCCTGCTCCAAGTGGAAGGAGCCGTATTGTTTGCCTCTTCAGTGCTAATTAGACTGCAGCCCTGGTGACATCACTTTAAATGCAGCTCTGCCGTTACATAAGAAAAGAGGATATTTGCGGTGTAGACCCCAATGGTCAATTTCAGGGTTAGGCAGACTGCAGGCTCCAGCTGGGGTGCAGCTACAACTCCCATAAGACATTGCAGGACTCTGACAGCCGCAGACATGGCTCCCAGTGGCAGATGCATGATGAGAGTTGTAGCATCACCACAGCTGGGGGGGCCGCAGTTTACCTACCCCTGGTATAATATGTCTTATTACACACTAGTGAAGGGTACACAGTATTTATTTTTGTTTGAATTTTAATATAGTTCTGTCTACAG